GCGGGTGCACGTACCAGTACAGAGCTGATGCTGGAGCCCGGAACAGCTGTTTGGAGTCTCCTGGCTGTAGCTAGCCCTGGCTCTGGGTAGCTGCTGCCAGCCAGGAGCCTGAGCTGCTCCCAGCAGGCAGCTGGGATGCTGCAAGCCCTGCTGGGAGCAGCCCGGGCTCCAGCAGCTACCCACAGCCAGGGTAGCTACTGACAGCCACAGAGCCCAGGCTGGGGGGCAGGGGCTTTGGGTGGGGGGCAAGGGGCAGTAGGGCTGCGAGGCAAGGGGCACAAGCAGGGCATCCTGCCATGTACCCCTTGCCCTCATTTTGTTTTTCTGGTATGCCGACACTCTGGCACCTTCCAAGGTAGGCATTGTGGTGTTTTTCAGCACTCTGGCCAAAAAATGTTGCCTACCCCTGTTCTAGGACTTAGCGGAAATACTAGTAGCATTTTCCTGTTAGCAGGGAAAGGAGGTTTATAGTTACAAGTCATGCACTTGAATGCAGCAAAGCACTCTGAAGGGTTGATGCAAGTACAAAGTGCAAGCATCGATTCTTTCTAGTCCTCTCAGGTAATTACCTATGGGGTTGAAGGGGGAGGAGGAGGAACACAATCTTTACAGACAGAGTCACAATGAGAAATGCACAGCAACAAACAGACAGCGCTAAGGGGAAGTCAAGCTTAATGTCGTTCTGAGCATTCACCTCTAGATCTCAAAACAAGATGAGGCCAGCACTGGGTTTTAGAAGGGAGAAGAGTGACAGAATGGGCTCTGATTCAGAGTCCTGGACTGGAAGGATGAGTGGCATTTGAAAGGAAAGACAAAACTAAAGAAATGAGTTAGACATCAAGAGAAAAGAGGATGAAACAGAAGAGGTGGAACAGGAAGGAATGTTCAGGGCAACAACTTGTTTTAAGGGTAAAACAGCAGAACAGACCACTCAAGTCATCAAGTCCAGCTTCCTAGGATCACAGGCCTTAGAAACATTCACAGAAATGTTTGCTTTGGCCTCTCCCACATGCCTCAACCCTAAAGCACCTCCTAGCATTCTGTGGGAGACCACAGCCCAACTGTTGGGATGGCTACATCTGTGCCTCACTTTCTTCACCTATAAAACAAAGAAACGAGGCTTGATTCATGTCTACATGGATCTTGGATGGAAACAAGTTCTCAAAACATGAGGATGCCTGGAAGGACCCAACATTTGCCCCCTCTGTATTGTGGGTGAGATCTTTAAGAAAGGAGAGAAACTGAAACTTTCTTTCCTCACTCTAGACCTTGTGAGCTGGTTTGTACATCAGGAGCATGACCCCAAGCCCACTGGACTCAACTGCCAGTCTTTCCATTTGTTTTAACAGGCTTTGGATTCGGCCTTAGGTGCTTCTGTCCACACCTGCAGAAGCCTTTGCCCGGACCACAGCCTGCACAGCCACAGCACTGTGTTCAGTGTTTACATAGCCACCATCAGCAAAGCACAGAGATCAGGGGACCAGGGACAATATCCAGTCACGGCATTCTGGCTAACAGGGTGAACAAGGCAAGCCACCCCCTCCTGAACATCCCCAATACAGGTCTTCTCTCTTCCCTATGCCAATAGCACTCCTAGGGGCACCGGGAACATGTGGGCCAAATGGTTAAAGATCAACAAGCCACACCAGGGGAAGCAACAAGGATTGGTCACTCCCCATAATGCCTAGTACAATCCCACACACAGTGTCTGTCGAGGTATTTACACACAATAGCTTTGCCACTCCCCAGGCCTGGGAAAAGAGGGAGGCTCCAGTTGGATATCAGGGTGAGCATGGCTACAGTTTACAACCAGTTCATTAACATGCCTCTGGGATGGAGTCAGGGAAGAAAGGTGGTTTACCAGGGGGTGGGGGGGGTGGGGAAGAAGAACTAGCTTCAGTTACCTTTTCCACAGATTTCCTGCCTGACCTTGGGCAAGTCACTTAGTTTGTCTGTCTGTCTCTCTTTGTCCCTCAGTTCTCCCACCTGGACAATCAGCTTCCATCTCCTCACCCTTTGTTTTGTCCAGGGGTTGGCAAGCTATGGCCCACAAAGTATCTAGACTTGACCTGCAGTGGTTTGGGGGAGGTAGAGGGGGAGGGGAAATGTAGCAGTGGGGGATTCAGAGAAGGTACCCTCAAGGTCATTCTGCCTGATGCATGCCATTTGTCCCAACGCATTCCTCTGCTGTGCTCCACTTCTCATCCACACAGCCTCTGTTGACAACCAAGCTCTACCTACTCTTTTTTCTCACTGTCAGATTTGCACCTCAGCATGACTGTTAGTTATGGGAATCTGTAGCACTTGGTGGCAACAGTGGGGGCAACTCAGAAGCAAACAGGGAGTACTGGGGCAGCAGCAGAAGACAGGAAGGCTGTGGCAGTAGCCAGGTTGCAAGCCGCAGCCTGCCATTTATAAAGGCTGCCAACCTCTGGTCTTGTCCATTTACACTGCAGGCTCTCTGGGGCAGTCACAGTCTCTGACTACATGCATGTACAGTTGCCTTCTTTGGTGTCTAGACACAGCTGCAATAAAAATAAAGAACACCACAAAAGCCACTGAAGGGATTCTACTTTGTAACAGACCTTTACTGCCTTGACCCATAACAGCATAGGAAGAGATTTTATCCAGTCCACTAGCTCAACTTTTTATCCGGGCAGTTCCACAACTAAAAAAAAAAAACCCCACCCCCACCCCAAACGTCTATGGGGCTAGCATGACATCTCAGTGTCAGGTTGCAACAAACTGAAAGAGCAAAACAGAGTCCCATCAGAATATCACTGTTCGAGCACATGTGTCCATGGAGACACAAGAGCAGTGGGACTCCTCTGAATCACAGAGCACATTCAACAGCAACAGCTTAGAAAGGAGGACAGGAGAAGGTTAGAGAAGCAGCTGACTATACTGGCTGATATTTTCAGTACTCATGATTCTGGGTGCCTAAGTTTTGGGGTTTCCAACTTCACACTTCTTAAAAGATCTTTATTCAAAAAGGATAGTCCAGCATTCAGACTCAAGCTTTAAGGAATCTCAGAGTGGGCACCCCAAAAGTAAGTCACCCATGGAAAGAGCCATTCCTGAAAATAGCGGCCACAGGAAGTAATTTGTCCTTTATTTCTCCTTCCTCTTTTTTCTTCTAAATGTCAAATATCACATTTCAGTACTTACTGGAAAGGCATCTTGGGCTTCACACATCTTCGCTACCGAGGTCTGGAACTCCCCAATGAAGTCATGTCCTCCATCACTATCATAGTCATAGCACATGACCTAGGGAAGAGAAAAGGAAGGGGCCATTCTTACACATCACGCATAGGCCACTACAGCTAGTGGTTAGAAAGGCCACATTTATATTTTGTTCAGCTTTCATTTAGCCAAGGGAAACCTTCCAGGTGCATCCCATTTTTTTGGCATTCCTTGCCAGTACTTCCTGAAGGTCAAACCACAACTAACTTTCCTTTATGCAATGAGGGTCAAGCAAAATTCTTTGAAACAGATCAACATCACTCTATACAGTGACTGCAAAAGCGGGGGTCTCTAGAGGGATGTTCACTGCTCTCTCCTCTGGGCTTTCTCAATATTAATAAATCTCCTACTCTTGGAAGTAACAGAGAGCACTGGCAATGGCTTTAATCAGCAGCATCCCATCTCACTCGTAACACACTGCGGTGAGATGGTGGCTAACTCTCTACCAGCCACCTGTCTGCCTCACGTGCCTACTGTTGCTATCACCATTGGCAACAGCAGGAAAGTTGAAGACAGCTGCTAACACAATGGGGAGCACTGGGCTCAGGAATGATAGACCTTTGATCTCCTGAGTGAAAGTACTATGGTTAGGGAGATTTTTTCTTTTTAGTTTGTCTTAATATTTTTTCTGTGAATCAATTGGAGAGGGTATTTGCTTTCAAACATTGCTTACCCTAATGGAAAAGGCCATATTTATTGTAGTCAGGGCCAGCAGCATCACTTAAAAAGGAAGGTGTCAGGCCATCTTAAGACCCTGGGTTCAGTAGCAATAAGCTTTGCCAGACTACCCAGCTGGCTGAAAATTTTCACATCCAGCTGAGGCCAGACTTCTTGGGAAGTGTTTAACCGCAACCATTATGCCATTTTGGTGAACAAGACATGGACAGAAGAGACTGTCTCTGAAAATGCTCCTGTCCATGCCTGGAATGGTACCCACAATTCCTGGGTCTCATCAGTCCTCTTCTGTTAGCAAATATCTGTGAAACCTACCAGCAGCATGTGTCATTCCTCTCTAATGTGAATGCCCAGAGGACAACAACATCTTACTGCTGTTACTCAATTAGTTCTAACTGGAGAGGGAGTGGGGTGTCTCTGGAGTGGATCTAAAGGTTCTAACTTGACTGATGACCTATGCGGATGTCAATATGATGCTATATAATGGAACTTCTCTGAAGTTCTTTATATTTTCCAGATAAGATGTGTTCAGCAGCTGCAGACAGCTGCTTTGGCAGTGAGAACAAAAAGGGACTGGTCCCAACTAGCACAGGTTTGAGACTTGAGAGCTGCATCTCAGTTGTCTTGGCTCTGTGTTGGTTTCAGCCTCTTCCCCTCAACAGTCAGAATCTATTTTCCAAGCTGCAACAAGAATTCAGAGCAACAAAACGAAGGTTGAAGCAATGCCATTTTTAATGCAGTCACCTTTATCAGCTTCTCTATATCTCCATCACACAGTGACACTAAAGGCAGAGTGAATGGCTTCCACACTGGATCCAACGTGTATTTAATCACCTGCAGAGCAGAAAATGGTTACATTAGGAGAACATGAGAAGTAAGTGCCAAACAATGTGAAAGCTAAAGCCTTGTTTCAAATAGATGCACAGGCCCAGAATCTGAGGTGGTCTGGGCTGGCATAGTTCTACTGAAAATTAGCAGAGCTTCATCAGTCTATATCAGCTGAGGATTTGAACCATCAAGAACATGCAACTGTGGGACTTCAGACCAGAGAGCAGGCATAAGGACCTCAAATAAATCTCACTCATTTATAATCTTCATTGCCCCAGCCACAGTAAGTACAATTGGCTTAGTTCATCATTTTTATTTAGGTGACTTAATCAGCTTGACATTTACTGAGTGAATCTGATTCTTTGGTACAAATCCAGTGCATCAAGCAAATGCAAACAGTTTCTAGGTACAGTTCATATGTGCACAGACACATGCTTATAGACAGAGGGGTGCCTGTTTATATCTGAGAATTTGGGTAGCTGATTTATTTTAAATGTGAATCCTGGAGTTCAAAGGTGAGCAGCAGAAGACTGATGCAGGAGGGAAACCGGTTGCCTTTCAAGCTATTAATCATCATTGAGCAGCAAAGATGCTACCAAATATAGATCTATTTTTAAAGCAGGAAAAAAAGGAAGTCAGATCAAAATGGCAAAGCCAAAGGCAACCAGACAGTGATTCTAATTTATATACTTTTGTTCAAGAGTATGCTATGAGCTTTAGCATAATCTTGAACTAAAGGCATGCTCATGCATAAAGAGCAGCATAAGCCACTATGAAAGTTAAAAATCACTTAGGTTCTGTGTGAGATGCCCTTCGATGCTTCCTTCTCTGAGCCTAGCAGGAACCAATCTGAGGCACCATCCCAGGAGCCAGACTTATACAGTTTTCCTCTTCTGGTCACCTGGTTCTCTCAGCAGACTACAGATGTTTTCCAATGGCCTCATCAGCGGTGCCCTTGATTCTGTTACAATCATTACATAATTAGCTGCCTGCTGTTTACCATATAGGGTTCTGTGGCTTTCTAGTTCTGCTGCCTAGCCCCACTTTCAGTAAGAGGGGTTGGGACCCCTGTTAGATATGGGCACTACAGACAGTCTCTTGCTGGAGAACAGAGGAAAAAATCATTTTAAAATAACATTTGTTAAAGAATCTGTAAACACCTCCTACAGTGGGCTGAGAAGATCAGTAAAGGGGATCGACTCACACACGCTGAAGATGCAAACTGCATAGTATCCATATGTTGCCAGACACTAAGGGCTCTGACAGATGTGCAGGCTCCCCCTCTATCTCATGGCGCTTTACCCTGCTCTATCTCATGGCGCTTTACACAGAAAGAGAGGGGCCGGGGTAAGGGAAATTGAGCTCCACTTTGGAGCCAATCACCTGCCTGCAGCCTCTCCCCCCACCACCCCTCCAGCTCCAGTGCCTTCTGCAGGAAAGGAGGGGGGAAAATGGAAGGAATGTGCTGCAGGCTGGGGTTTGCCCAGGCAGAGCTGGAGGGTAGCCACAAGAAGGGTGGGCTCCAATCCAATAGCACCACCCCCTGCCCAGCTCCAGCCAGGTAAACCCCAGTCTGCACCATACTCCCCATCCCTTCTCCCCGCTCTCTTCCTGTAGACATTACCCGGGGTGGGGTGGACTGCCCAGCCCTGATCACAGGACAGACTGACCCTAGGAAACAGAAGTTCCCTAAGGTGCTCCAAAAGTGGAGTGTCTTCATCTGATCTCTCATCAGTCATGTAATTGGCCACTTTTAAGAGCACTCTGCAGCTGTGCATGTGTGTCAGGGCACAGCTGCAGAGCACTTTCAGGAGGCTGACCATGCAACAAATGTAATTTCTGTCTGTGCCCCAAGTCCTTGGGGTGGGTATCTTTAATAGGATCCATGCTCATTTCATTATATAGCATCCAGCTGAAGGTTCACACATTATTTTGAAGCCCTAACGAGATCATTATCTTTCCTCACCAGACATCTCTGTTACTGTATGATAAATAGTGGTCTCTGACTAATAGCCAGTTATAGTCACATGCCAAACACGCAGCTCATAGGTACTAGCAATCACTTTATTGTGGGTACCACAATGTCTGGATACTCCTCCCATTCAGGAGTAATTTGAGCAATTTGTTTTTCTGGGCTAGGAAATAAGAAGTTATTTAAGCTTCTCGAAGCTATCCCCCAATTCCCCATCATTTAAAGAAATTTTTAAAATTCCCCATCTGCATATTTTATCTGGAGTTATATTTTCCAGGAACACCCACAGCAGATCATGAATCAACACTGTCAGGCAGCCAACAGCAAATCAAACAGAACAAACTAAAAGCAAATAGGAATGTGCTAAAGTCAGTTTTTGTTCAAAACAGACAGTCCTGGGGATTGAAATGCTTTTATACATAAAAGAAATATAAAATCAATGGCCCAACTGCTCAGAGGAATCAGTTGGATTATTTTACCCTTTAAGTTTTAAGGCTGTGGCCAAAATTTTCAAAAGTGGCATTGGATTTCACATACCTGACTGGACACGTTTGTCAGAAGCACTGAGAACCTACACCACCAGAGGAAATCTTTGGGACAAGAATGTGTTTAAACATTTGGCTGAGTCAGGACCTAATTGCTCATCTGAACATAAGGAAAGAAAACCAAATAAGTGATGCCACCTGAAAGGACTAACCTGGAACAATAGGATCCTTAATTAAACCTCAGAAGTGGAGCTATGTGATACTCACTGCTGCCTGATGCTCTTCTTTTCAGGGCTATTGTTACACTGAAACCATGGTTTAACCATCACACTTCCCCATCCTTGCTAACTGGCTAGGGCTGTGTGCAAACAGAAGCTATTTCCTTTTAAATAAGCTTTGAAAGGGGTGGGGGTTGAAGGGAGCCTGACTTTGAAAAGATACTGGTATGTTTCTTCTCCTCTCCCAAAGCCTAGCAACAACCATGCTGAACAGCAAAGCTGAGAAGAGAGGCCAGAGCACCTCTACAAACATCCTTATAACAGTCATTTGCCAGAGATGACAACCCAGTTCAGCACCACTGTGGCTTACAGGTGAACCCCTGCCATGAAAACATGCCTCACTACCAGTCAGAGCTTTCATCTGCTACCTTCTTATCACATTCCAGACTCAAAGAGAGTGAGGCAGTTAGCTACTCAGCTTGCTTTGAATCATTCAACACAGAAAGGGCTAATGTGCTTCTCCCACAGCCTCTCTGCTGTTTGCTCTTTGCATGGAAAGACAACAAAACAACCCTTCACTTCACCTGAGCCAGGAAAGCTAAACTAAACCTGTAAGCCAATGCATAGGAGCTGGCGTAAAATCAAGGTAGCTCCCATGAATTATTTCAAACCATGTCAATTAATACAAGCAGAGGATTAAGCCTCAAACATTTCACATTCATAGTGCTTTATAACCGGATATCAACAGCTGTACAAACAACCTTGCAATAAAGCTGTAAAACAGAAAGCCTGATCCTCATTTATAGCTATGGAAATTGTGGTATCCAGGAAGAAAGCACACTGCATTGCCCAAGGTCACTAACTTCTTCTGTAACCAAGTGCAATACAAACCAGAAATCTAGTGAACTCCTTAGTCCAGTGCTCTTCTCTAGTAGCTCTGAACCACCAGAGAGGTGGATTCTCCACTCTTGGAGATTTTTAAGACCTGGCTAGACAAAGCCTTGGCTGGGGTGATCTAGTTGGAGATGGTCCTTGAGCAGGGGGTTGGACTAGATGACTTCCTGAGCTCCCTTCCAATCCTCATTTTCCCTAATACTATGATTTGTTGCTTCTAAAAACTTAGCGTGACCATATTTCTAGTGTGACAAAAAGGGACACACTGCTCCCTCCTCACTGTCCACTATGCTCAGCCATCTCCAACATCCAGTCTCAGTTAGGGCTTGGGAGGAGTTTGGGAGGGATGCAACAGTACCATTTTCACCAAGACAGTCCCATTTTAAGCAAGTGTCCTGCACTTCCCCCGAAAAAAGAACAAAAGCATTAATCTAACCAATCTAATAGAATGCCTGGGGCAGGTGTTTGGAACAGAGCTGTCCTAGTGAAAACAGGATGTATGGCCACCCCACACAAAAATTCCAAGATGATCTCTCTAATCAGGGCTCCTCACCCTCCTGCATCCAATTTGTTGGCCAATGTCTCAGTTGGAGGAAGTTAAATATTAAGGTCCCAAGGCATTCCCTCCTCAGATTTTTCAAAAGGCTGTATGTAGTTAGCATATTAGGAGCTGTGAGAATTTCACTTACTTCTTGCAAATCTGGCCACCACCAAATGTCCTACTTTTCAAGTCAGACTAGAGCTGATCATGGAACTTTTCATGGCATTTCACTATTGGCCCCATCTGTTATATCGCATCTAGTCCATTAATCCATTAAAAAAAAAAAAAAAAAAAAAAGGCTACAGACAAAAAGGTAAGAACCGATTAAAGATGTGTGCAACTCTAATAACCCAAATAAGTCCTACTCACCTCCGTTCTATGGACCAGCATCCATTTTCCATCATCGCCTGGCTTATAAAACTCTAAAAATGGATCAGACTTTCCAAACAGGTCCTGTGTAAGACACAATATGGGTTACATAATTTCCCATCAACTGTGTAATGGCCAAGCAAGAGACAGTCTATAGAAGAGAAATGCCAGTCTTGTACTATAAGATGAAGGACTATCATTCTGGTTATATTCTCCCCTGTCTACAAATTCAGTCACACAGAGAATTGAACTGGTTATTACTAGCAACAAATGGCATTATGTATCTAAGAGCAAACTTTGCAACAGCAACTGATAAGTTTAGTACCAAATACCAAGAAAGTGATTATTAGTAGAAAAACACCAGCCTCATAGTCCAAGAATTTAATTTTATCTGAGTATACTTAAAAAAGAATCTTAGCAATGGCTGACTCTGTTCATTTTCAAGTCAGTAGTAAAACACCTGTTAAAATAATTACAGTAGTAGTAGAAAAAAATGCCAACCATGCCTGTAAACTTATAGAGGCTGTCTACGGAGGTGTGGCCTTACCTACATCAGTTTGCTTTGGCTGCCTGCATTTACAAAAGGAAGCTGAATTGGTAAGACAGGTTTAAAAATACAATTTCCAGGCTTACTAAATGAATGTTAAACCCCATTCTAGCTAAATGCTAGCACAGCTCTGTGTTTAGATCATATCCTAATAAAGATTCTGTTATTTAAGAAATGGAAGTGAGCCAGGGAATCTGCCGCTGTGTCCTGGTCAGTCTGCCATTTCAGTAATTACACTGCCCAAAGTAACAGCAATTTGAGGAGGAGACAGAAGAACAGGTCCCCAGAGAAACTGAAGCTGCTCGACCTACATCACCGGCTCAGAAGAGGCACAGACTGAGAAGGAGACGCAAAGTTCTGGTCATCGGGGACTCCATCCTGAGGGGAACCGATGGTCCAATCTGTCACTTGGAGCCCTGGTCACGGCAGGTCTGCTGCATGCCCAGAGCAAGGATTCGCAACTTCACAGAGACCATCCCTAAAATCAACAAGCCCTCTGACTACTACCCACTGGTTGTGGTCCACGTGGGTACAAATGATGCATCCAAGGGCAAGCCAGATAACATCATGGAGGACTACAAGGCCCTGGGACACCAACTGAAGAAGACGGGAGCCCAGGTGGTATTTTCCTCCATTCTCCTGGTAAGTGGATGGGGTAGGCGTCATGAGGCCTGCATTGACGTGGTTAACGGGCAGCTTCAGAGCTGATGCCACGAGGCAGGCTTTGGGTTTTTTGATAATGACCCATGTTTTTGTAAGGAGGGCATGCTGGGGTGGGATGGACTTTACCTCTCCCCTCAGGGCAGACGTGTCTTTTCCTCTAGGTTTGCTGATCTCGTACAGCGGGCTTCAAACTAGCTTCACTGAGGGAAGGGGCCGCTTTGAGTGAAGAGGATGCTTCACCAGCATGCAGGGTGACAAGAGGAAGGGAAGCCCAGATAAGCAACAACATCTGGGAAGCAGGGGGCCACAACTGTCCTGGGAGTCAAAGAGAGGCACATGCACCCTCAGGAGGCCTCAGGTGCCTCTACAGTAATGCTCGTAGTATGGGGAATAAGCAGAAGAAACTGTGCCTCCTGATTGCGAGTAAGAACCCAGACTTAGTAGGGCTTACAGAAACCTGGTGGGACCCTGCCTACGACTGGGCAGTGAGCATTCGGGGATACACCTTATATAGAAGAGACAGGACAGAGAAGAAATGTGGTGGGGCTTGCACTCTATGTCAAAGAGCACCTCACATCATCAAGGATTAGCTTCAGGATAGAGGAGGGTCGGGCAGAGGCACTATGGGACAAACTACAAGGGGGGCATGGCGAAAGGGACCTTACGGTGGGTAAGTGACTGAAGGTCTGAAGGTGACTATAGACCACCCAACCAGGGGGAAGAGCTGGACCAGGACTTCTCCAGTCACCTTACGGAGGCGGTTAGGTCAAGGGATGTTATTGTCATGGGTGACCTAAACTACCCAGACATTTGCTGGGAGGAGCAGACAGCCAGGTCTGACCACTCGCGTAGGTTCCTGGCTGTATTACAGGACCTTCACCCTATCTAGGAAGCGCACAAACCCACTAGGGGTAACGCCTTGCTGGACCTGGTCCTGGCCACGGGGGATGACCTGGTGAGGGGACTGCAGGTCCTTGACCACCTGGGCAATAGTGATCATCACCTGCTGGATTTCATTATCCAACACAGGGCATCAAGGGCTTACAACAAGGCTAAAGCCCTTGACATGAGAAGGGCCAACTTCAATGAGCTTAGGAGACTAGTGGGGGATGCACTGAGGGCCCAGAAGGTAGAGGAGATGGGAGTCCACGAGGGATGGTCATACCTTAAGGGGGCGATCCTCCAGGCCCAAAGGATAACAGTCCCTGAGAGAA